GGGATAGGTTTTTAATTGTTTTGTGGGCATGGCTTTGACCAAAATGATAGGGACCCCCTCCAGACTGATAATGTAATTAATATATGCGCAGTCATGCCCTGAAGCTGATCATAAAACTCTCGGGACTTCCTGGTTCCGTCTGATTTCCTGGTACTGCTTTAAACCGGTCATCAGCAAGAGCTCTCGGTTCTGTATGGTTTACTTTCACACTCACACTTCATTTGCACATTCTCAATATGATTTCGCATACATCCTGGTAATGATTACGAATAGCGTGTATTTCTTTCACTATTCTATTCTATTCTATTCTATTCTATTCTATTCTATTGAACAATTATATGATGCATGCATTTATGACTTGTGATGTGTTAACTGGTCAGCTGTCAGAAAATGGGGCTCAATCATACTGTATATTTGAGCTTTTGTGACATCTGCTGGAGATTTAATAACAAAAGCAATGACAACAATAACAATACAACAGCAAGCACCAGACAACAGAAAATGCTCTAAGATCAGCTTTACAGACCAAGACAAACAAAATAATTAAAGTTTATTGAAAAAAAACTTTACAAAACAATCAACCGTGTATTTAACAAGTATTGTCATAAAGTTAGAAATTGAATATCATTTGAGACAAGGTTTACATATCTTGATTGTGCAAAAACATCCCAAGCACATTACTCTTCATAAAACACATAAACTTTGTGGTGACTATGTCAAAACAAATCTTTTTTTTCTGTTTTAAATAAGGCTAAAGCYACAGTAGGGAAGTAAAATCTGAAAGCTGGACAGAGTTTATGAGCTTTTTAATTCTGACATAAACATGAGGCAGCTACTGGCTAAATGTTTTGGTACAGTTCTGGATAAGACTTTGGAAGTACTGCTGCGAGTTTGTGTGGGGTTGAAAAAAATAATGTAACATTTTGTTAGGAAATACCACAAGAGGAAAGAGAAAAGGCTTGAGAGTACGGCTACGGTATTTAATGTATGGATGTGCTTCAGTTGGGACAGGTACTCAGTGGCGAATACATGCAGGTGAAGATCAGCAGGAGGAGGCCAAAAGTGATCTCTTTGGCCTCATTGTAATTTTTTGGCAGGTCTTTGCCCATGWAGGAAAAAATAAAGCAAAGCAAACACAATATAATGGGTAAAATCACAGAGACTGAGGTTTTCGCAATGTTAATGTCAYAGCCCAGAATGATCTGGTTGTGGCAGGCAAGGGTGTTCCAGCGAGGATTGGGTGTTTCAAACCAATAACCTGCAGTGAGTAGAAGTGCCTGAGTGATGAACTACCCGGTGATGAGCAGMCATTGTCTGTGATATTTCATTGTTATATTTATATAAGTATAAATATTATTTTCCTTTTTTACCTTTTTACTGTAAACTTGAGAACAAGTTAGAGATCCTGTTCCCTTACAACTATTTCTTACTTTCTTATACAGTATATGTATAAAAATAGACATTTGTCTAATTTGTATCATTTTTAACAGAATAGATCAGATCACTCAAAGTACTCAAGGTTCTGAGGAAAAGTTAAAGGCATCAACATCTTACCTGTTGAAGGCACGAGGTTGAGTGTCTCCAATATGAAAAAAAAAGTTTATTTTGTGCTTTATGATTTAAACACCACAAAACCCTAACAATCTTTCAAAAATAAACAGATATTAGAATATTTTGTATGCACAAGCAAAAACAACAAAATAAATTGTTCTAATAGTTCTAATATTAAACTCAGGGGGTCAAAGTGGAAACAAAACAATGTGGGATATAGAAGCAYAAAGTAAATWAAAAAAAAACAAATCAAAGCAAATAAATAATGTTGTAATAAACTACTGCAGCTAACATGATGCTAAAACCATTATTCAAAGTTCCAGAATGTTTGTTAAAGCCTGCAGGAAAACAAAGTGGAGCTTCAGATTTTAAACAATGTTTTTGCAGCAACTGAAGAGGTCTTAATGCATTTTTGTGATGAACTTTATTAGAAATAATCTACAAAAGTCACAAACACCAAAAGTCACAGCACACTATTTCCAACTCAGTTAAATGTTTTGATATTTGGTTTAAATTGTAAGAAGCAGCCTAAATAGTTTGATTGCTTTAAAAAAACATGTAAACCAGCATTTTACTCAGCATTTATGATGAATTAACCACATCACATAAACACCTATAACACTGAAAACTAGAGAACTAAAATATTTATTTCAGAACATGATGTGGGCAGAAATATATTCAGGTGTTCCATTGAAAATTGTTTTTCTGTCAGATCGTTCTTAAATATTATTTCACTGGTTTCTCTCTATGCCTCCATTTTGGGTATTTAACATGATATTTGTGTTATTACTGGCCTAAACTGATTCATCACAGGTGGATAATGGTAATATCTAAACACACATAGCTGAGAACTAGTACYGTAAATTTAAGAGAACAAATTACAGATCCTCCTTTCTTACTTTCTTATATAAATGTATATACATGGACATTTGTCTAACATTGGTCTAAATTATATGAAGTAGCCTGCATAAATAGTTTGATTGCTTAAAAAAACATGGGAAGCAGCATTCTACTCAGCATTTAATTAACCATGTCACATAAAAAACACCTATAACACTCAAAACTAGAGAACTTTATCTCTAAACGACGTGAGCAGAAATATATTGGGGTGTTCCATTTAATATTTTCTGACTTTATATTTATCTGATTTGAATTTTTGCCTTTCTTTCAAATTGGCAGTGTGTTTCATTTAGACAGGAAGGTGAAGTCAAGATGCATGCTTTTTTAAAACCAGATTCTGTACAACTCTCTATTCAAAAAGAGTGGGATTTTAGTATAAAAAGGATTTAAACATGGCAGATGCATGTAAAACTCAGCTTTAAACACATGCAGCTCAGACACACAAGTTTTTTTTTTCTCAGAAATCCTGATGAATCATCAGAAATCAACAGCCTCAAAAAAGGAAACAGCAGCAGGTGTTTTTTTTTTTTTTTTTTTTTTTTTTTTTT